TCTAGCTTTTCTTTCTAACTTTATTTCCTATTCCCTTCAATTTGATGTGAACTATTGGACACTCAGGAGCATAGCAGCAATCTTCCCAGGTCTTTGTGTTGGCTGAAATCCTCTTTCCCTATTACATATCCAGGACTAAGATTCCCCCCTGCAATCCAAGTGCAGCCACATCCTACATTAGGTGTTCATAAGGAGTTCTATTTCCTTACTCCTTGTATTAACTTGCTCACATTTTTCATATGACATGTATGGTCTGTCCTGTGGACTCATTCTCCCAATAAATGCACAGCTCTTGGGTGTAAAAACTGTTTCTCATTCGTCTGTGCAACTGTATCTCCCCTTATTATCAATAGCTGATAGTTAAATTATTAAAAATGAATCAATCCTTTTAGCCATCACTTCTCCTCCTCCTCCTCACTGCTCAATGCTCATGAATACTGACAGAATATAATTTAATTAAAAGGTAAAAGTACAGATTAAAAAAGCATGTTTAGTGTCACTGCTTTTAATAAGAGACAGTTTTGGTAATTTGTTCTGCCACTGAATAGGATCCATAGCTTAACTTTTGGACCAACTTGTTCACCTTGACCCTTTAATTCATTCTCTCCAAAAGCTCTGACATGGCAGGATACTTATTATGTATTCTTTATCCCACTAACTGGACACTTCCTATAATCCTGGATTCCACCTCATCTTTTTCTCATTAAACGTTAAAAAGAAAACTGAAGGTTCATGGAGTCTGAAAAAAGTTTCACCCTCAAAGTAGTTGAACTTTCATGGGAAAATTTCACATTGTTTTTCACTGAGCTATCTTTTTTAATTCCATGCTCATTCTTATTTAAGAACCTGGAAGAGTTGGAAATTTTTTAAAAATATTCAAGAGGGGAGAAACATTTCATTCCATAATGACACTACCAAGAGATTTCACCTAAATAGGTTTGTCCTATAGTCTCAGATAGAGTCTAGATCCATAATGAAAGCAACCCTATGTATGTCAAAGAAATCCAGCGTGAATTGCTAGTAATGCATTTCTCATTTGTTTGACCTTTTGCTCCGCCTAATAAACATAAAATCTCATTACTTCAGATAGATTTTCACCTACCAGGCAAAACAGAGAATCTAAATTCTGTCTGCGGTCACCATCTAAGAACATTTTAGTAGTTTTGCATTCTGAGAATGTATGTGGTATGATGAAAGAATAAACACTGTGGTTGCTATGGATAGTCCAGCAATTCATTCAAGTTTTCTACTGTATAACTCACACCCTCGTCGAGGATCACTGCACTTCTAAAACCCAAAACAAAGCAAACATACCTCTCCTTAGCGAGGTAAAGGGTAAGTGATGTATTATTATCAAATAACCTTTTTTCCAATAGTCGCAAGGGAAGGTCTGATCTGTGATCTAAGATCTCTTTCTCCCAGTTCCCTCTGGGCTTGAGAGCACCCAATTGTAAAACAAAATGCCAGACAGGCTGCTACCTGAATTCTACCTGTAGTTTCTGCTTCTTACCCACAGCTCAAAGAAGCACAACATGGGAAAACCTTAGGCAATGTATTTGCTTACTCTTGAGAGAAAAACTATATCCATTTTAAAAGAAAAAAAAATATCCACAAAATGATTCTTCTGTAAAAATCGCATCGCTGTAGGAGAGAATATTTCTCTCAACTCTTCATACCCAGTGGTTTGAAATGACAGTGAACTGGACTCTGCCTTGTTCTGTTGCTTTAGAACTTGTTTAACATTGCACAGAAATTGTTTCTGGAATATTCTGGAGCATCTACTATGGGTCACAGCAATCCCTTTTGGAATATATCTCTCTGGGTAGCATGCAGTGAGAAAGAAAACCAAACACTGATATTAATTAAATGAGACTCATTTATACACATACATATCTTTTAACGGCAAAACCCCACAATTAGCAGAAACAGATACTTAAGCATATGAGCCCTGAAGTCCCATTAATTCTAGAATACTGGAATATATTCTAAAAAAAATACCTTTCCTCCTTCATCCAAACTACCAGAAGTCAGTCAAAATCTCTTTTTGAAGAGGAGAGTATAAGACACTCTCTCACACACAAATTCAAGGTAGTGTTTTTGGCAAGAAAGTTGAATTAAAACTTAATGGATGAAGTATTTCCTTTCTTATGAGCCTCACTCTGTCCAATTCTGAGACCAGCCCCAGAGGCTGTGCCATTCCAAGCGTGGCACTGAGGACCGGTGCGTGTTTGAGACCTCTGTATTGTGACCCAAGGGTAGATCCTTAAGCCGTGCCTGTTACATCCTGCCCATGTCTTCCTCCCTTCCGGACCCTTTCCTGTTCATGAAAAGCTTCCCAAAATTCAGCCCTGCTAAGGGTGGGGGCACAAAAGAAAACATTAAGTTATGAAAAAGAGAGCACAGAAGGCATAGTGGTTTTGAGTTATCAATCCCAAAGAATTACCAGCAAACCAAATAAAAATAGGGGAGGTCAAATAATGGATTACAGTTTTCAAATACTTTTCACTCTCACTAGGAGTTCTCTACCTTTTTATTATTCTAAGTCCATTCTACCTCTACCAATTTTTATGTGGTAACAGCACATGGCCACTTTTGTATTAAAATAGTTAATAATAAGTCTTAGGTGAATTTCAAAATGCTAGCGTTTCGGTGTTAAACTTTAGGATTATCAGGACCATGTGACTCTAGGTAATCCATACATTCAAATGTAGAGACACATTTTTGCGGATAATTAGTAAAGCATAGCCTTATACAGAAGCAAAGGTGTTCTTAATAATAGAATAGACATCAGGCCATTTAGAAATCACATAGTATACATACTGGCCAAAGAATATGGAAAGCTTCAGAACAAAGCACAGTAAGATGCAAGTGCTTTTTCCAATACTTTATGAAGTGCAATCATATTTTTTCTGTGTTTTTTAGTCACTTTGCAAGGGAAAAGCTAGACAACTGATGTCTCTTAAGCTCCTGACAACATATTTAAACACTGGATTTTTAAAAACTCAAAACCATCTATTTTCTTTCAGCATAAAAGATGCTACCATGACCTTTTTGTCTCCATAAAAGGGCAATAACTCCTACAGATATTTTCTATCCAGTTGGTTTTTCCTGGTTTTGTATAGGTTCTCCCCGCCCGCCCCCCCTTTTTCATGAGATTATATCAAGCAAACTCACTGTCAGGGACTCCATTCCAACCCATACCAACCCTGGATGGAGCAGAACTTTCTCAAGAATTTCCAAAGCTGTCACTCTTTATGGAGGCTGACTCTCTCCGTTTTCTCCCCACGGAGTTGCTGGGGATTAGAACTGCCGACCTTTTAGTTAGTAGTAGGAAAGTTAAGCACTGCACCATGGAGACTGTTAACCTAAAAGTGTTTATTTCCTCTTTCCACTTGGCATCAGTGTTAGACTTTCCCAGCTAATAGATCTCAATCAAATCTATATTTCTACCCCTTCATTCTTTCTTACACACACAATCAGATCCCAGACGCAGAAGGAAACAAAGTCTGCTAGAGTTTGCTTATACATATTTTCATGAAATAGCTTATGAACAAAGATAATTTCAGATCTGAGACAGAGAGATTATTTTCCTAATGATGAAAAGATGGCCAAAACTAGGTCAAACAGAAACATCAAGATAACCTTAAAAGGTACTTCTTGTGGATATTTTTTTTAAATTGGTAACATTTTAAACTAACTTTCAATATTAAGGCAAAACAAGAAACTCAAGTTACTCTACTGAGGCCAACCAAGCAAACGAGTGAGGAAGTTTTAAAGGAAAATAGCCACTTCCTTTTCCTTCTTCAGAGAACTTGCTATTTCCCCTACATATTTACACAGTTCAGGTGTCTAGACAATAGCATGGTCAATATGATAGCGTTGACCCTGCTTTGCCGGCCTTTGCAACTTTTCCTTTTGCTGTCTGGACCGGAAGCCCCTGCCAATAACGTGCATTTTGTTTTGACTTTAAGGTGCTCAGTTTTAGTACCCAAGTCCATTTTCCAGGCATTCGCCTGCAAGCATTTTCATCTAAACACTGAACTCTGTCCACACCACCCCCTACATCTGATTAGTGTCAACACAGCTGCCCTATTCTGAGGAATGTAAACTAATATTGTTGTTAGACCTCCCTCAACCTTAGGAAACTTCCTCAAAGTCTTAAGAGTCTTCAGGAGCTTTTTGGCGTCTCCCTTCTCCCCAAATGACTTAAGTCCCTAAGACCTTAAACTTGTGAAGGACAGACCAACAAGGCAAACCACCAATTCCTTAAAGAAAAATCCTAAATGTTACCATATGCTAAATTTGCATTTAAGGGTCTATAAATACTGACAATGCTCAACTTGACAATAATTTTGTCATACATGGTGAAAGTCTATGACAATCACCAAGTAAATAGGGACACTTCTAAAGTCCCTTCAGGAGTTAGATGGATCTCTTAATTTTAATTAGATTTAGAATGAAATGGTTTTTTTAAAAGTGCATCTGAATATTTTTGGGGAATAGCTTCATTTCCTTTTAGGACAGAGATAGCAGTAAGGAAAGAACTTAAAACACAGTTAAGTAATGTAGCCTACTGGTAGGTCAACACCCAAGAGAGGAGTCATTTCAATGTATCTAGCAGAATGTAATCGGCTTTCCCAGCCTGTTCATACAAAAAAAAGTGATTTTATACATCCCTGAGTACAGAATGACTCCATACACACATGTACAGATTCTCAGTGACACTGTAAGTACCTACAATGTCACCCAGAATCCTCATCCTTTTCTCTATTTCATCTTCTAGTTAAAAGGAAAAAAAAAAAAAGAAATCTTACAAACATCTTTGAAACTAGTTCTCAAGATAAGGTGCTTCCTACTTAACAATTTTCAAAAACATTACATCAAGTGACCAAGAACTACACATATGTAAACTTTTGTTTAAAAAGTAAAATAAACCAAACAAAAAACCAACCCACAAAGCATCTCTAATAGAGTGTTAGAATCTGAAATCAAATCCTTACCTCACTAAATTGAGTCTGGGCATTGTTTTCCAGGTACAACATGTTAGCTGTAAGATTGATCAATGCCGCTGTCCTCTCTTCTGGCTCCAGGATTTTGTCAGTCCCCCCCACCCCCTGAGACCCTTACAGTATGAATCTACTAAGAAGATAACAGAACTCAAGTCCCTCTCTCTCTTTCTTTCTCTGTTCATAACTTAAAGTTACCTCATATATACCCAACTATAGGCATGAGGGGGGCGGGACTCTTCTCTTTACCTGTCCAATCCATCAACTTCCACCTGGACTCCTCCACTCCAATGGAGTGAGGCCTCTCCCATCTCATTAAGTAGTTAGAATTCCTTATCACCAATCTTTGAAAGAAAAAGGAAAAAAAATACACACACACACACACAGGAGAGAGACAGAGAGGTAAAACTTTCCCTTGTCTCTTTCATAGGAATGTGCCCTCTCTCCTAAAAACAAAGCAAGATCTTCCCAAACAAATTGCACTAACACCACTACAACTCACACAGACATTTCAGAAAGTTACTGCACACTTTGTAATTAGAAAGTAAAACTCCAATGAAGTATTTGGTTTTCTGTTTTGGTCCTTTTATTTTTTTTTTAAACCTAAATGTGCAGTTTCAACACTGATTACACAAAGCCGAAAAGTAGGAGACCAAATTTTACAACTACTTCTTGATAACTGAAAAGGTTTCAACCTATTCTCCCCAAAGATATGCCAGTGGTTTCGTATTAATCAATAGCAAAGTTATATACTTGAAATTATCAGTCCAGCTAGAATTTGTAAAAACAAACAGCCATCTGTATGATATGCAGGAAATAGAAATCTTGAGAAAGATACTCATTTAAAAAAATAAAAAAAACAACAAACAATATACATTTTAATCAGTATTTTTAAGACAAGGAAAAAAGTAAGTTACATATATATTAAATATTTCTTTTCTCTACATTATTATACCAACTTTTAAAAAAAATGTTCAAAGATGCTATGTTATTTCCCAAATAGCTAATAAAATGATGATGATATCATATGAAGGGCTCTGGTAATGTAATTGATAGGTGTTATACTGTTAAGGCCGAAGGCGATGCCTCTCTGGAGGTTCAAATCCACCATATGGGGTTCTATGGGAAAAAGATGAGCAATCTCCTCCAGTGCAATTTACAGCCTCGGGAAAACCACTGAGGGGTCAGCTCTGAGTGGGTTCACACCTAAACACCTGGACAGAGTGAGTGATTTAACATGACACCTCTATTTAGATAATAACAATAAAGTTTAAGTCTTAAAGCTGAACAATCAATTAGTGTTTGCATTAAAATAGATTTCTAAATATGAATCTTGAATGTGACACTAGTTTCCCTGGTGAGTATGGTAAAATGCACCTTAGTGGCTACTGTGTCATTCATGGAAATATTCTTTACTGCTAAGTTACATGTAAGTAATTAAGTTAGATATATATCTGAAAGCCATCACTCCCCCACCCCCTCAGGAAGTTACTTCCCTCTGTCCTGCCTGAGAGTTGTAAACGGCCAGGATAGTTACTGTAGGAATTAAGGCTGCTGCAAAAAACTCAGAAGAAGATCATTACATAAATTTTACAAAGAAAGTTTGGAGATCAGTTTATGACCTTGGATTTGCCTAGGTACTCATACATTCTTAGCCATAAAATACATATAAATAAAGGATACTGTGGACTTTGGGGCTATTTCTTTTTAAGTGCTTAGATTGTTTGTGAAATGCTTATTTTCTTCACAAAGAGTCTTCAACACCATCTCTCGATCTGGTGGACTCCTATGTAACATGGCATATTTGTATCAGATATAACGTTCATTTCTTCACTGAAATATTGGAAAGAATGACTTCTCTCATTATCTATAATTAACCAAATGGGCCCTGGCAACATAGCAAAGAAAAGTTCCTTACAAACTACTGTATAATTATTTCTACCAGGTATTTAAATTTTATACTACAGACAAGCAGAGAGTGCATAGTAGAGGGCAGAAGCTTCTGTTCTCAAAGCTGTACCTCCACAACCTGGGGCTCAAAAAAGCGGATTATTCTGGGAGCCATGCACAGTGCTTTTGAAAAGCAGATTTCAGGACCTGTCCCAAGACATGCTTAAGTGAACTCCCTACACAGTCTCCCCAGCATCTGCATGTTTTTTTAAATAGCCTACTAGGCACTTCTCATGAGTCAGTCCTGGGAGGCAATGCCCTAGAGCAAATCTCCTCAGCTCAACTACCTAGAAACTCATTTTTTGGATACTCTTTCACTCCACTAGGGTTGTGTAACCACTTGAACTCCAAATCTCAGGTTCACATTTCTTTGGAGATGTTACTGTTATTCTGTCAAAATTCAAATGAATGGTCACTTACACAAAGACAAAAGAACTCCAGGACATTTAAAAAGCCAAACTCTCTGTTAACCCTCAACCTCAGCTTTCTGCAGAATCAAGTTAACTATAGTCTCTCTAACCCTATCTATCTAGCCCACCTATTTAGACCAAATTTAATATAATAGAATCAATCACAGCTCCTTGAGAATTTTGGCAGTTTCAGGGAAGGAGCCCTGAACTGGGAATTAGAGAGTATAAACCCTAATTCAAGCTCTGCCATTAGCTAATTCTGTGTCCTTAGGGCAGGTATTCCATCCCTGTGGGCTCCTCATTCGAAAAATGAAGGGTATAACTGTGTTCTAAAGACTCTTACAAAAATAAGAATTCCTATGTCTAGAATCCTGGACAATGCATTGAGAAGATAACTCCTATTTCTCTTACATTTGTTGTATGTGTGTGCTTCAATTATTCAACTTTAAATTGTACAGCTGAGGCAGAAGATTGCCCAGGTAAGACACTTAAATCATGAGGGTATAAAAGGTAATACATACATGCATAAATAAAATATGTATTATAATTTATTATAATATATAATGTGTGGTATTAGTTAATAGTTCTTTTACATTTGAACACCACATCCATATTACCATCAATAGCTAATTCAAGTACATTTGATCACTTTGATAATAAGTATGGGTACCTGATCTACAACTCATGCATCTATTCATGAAGGAGGTTACAAGGCTGCACCAATTCTCCACACTCATCAGGTAACAATATTTATCCAGGGGTCTCAACATTTTCTCAGTGTGCATTAATTTTCCTAATGACTGAGTGATGTAAGTGAGTTTTATTATCCCCATTTCACAGGTAAATTGGCAAGCTCAAAGATCCTGAGTACATTTCCCAAATCTTCAGGAGTCAGAGCAACCCCATAATCATTCAACCATTTCCCTCAAACTGCTGCAAGTTTTATGGCCTTGGGATTAGGGGTCAGCACTGCCCCTGGGACAGAAAGGCTGTAAATCCATAACTTTGAGAGTAGAGAAGCTCTAAGACATGGGATCAATATACACACACTACAAAAAGAAGAATGCTAGTATTTTGTAGAATATCTTTCTTACTACCTAATCATGTGAGAGCTATTTGCATATTAAAAATATGAGCCCCTTATCATAAATGCTATGAAGGCTGCCTCCCTCAATTTCTCCCTCCCTTCCTATTTTTTTTCTTTCCATTCCTCCTTCCCTCTCTCCCTGATTGGTAGGGAGAAAGGCTTTCAAACTTGCATCGAGTTTCGTAGTTTACTTATTAGAGTAAAGAAATTATAATTTTTATCTAATCAGATATATCTGCCTTTTCTCTAATGACCTAATTTTTCCCAGACATGCTTTTAAAAACTTTGCTTCAACTATAATATCAGATAATTATGATTTTATTTGTTAGCAACTAAATTGCTTAACTCATCTAAACTTATACTGGTAGAAGAAATATATCCTCCCCAAAAGAACTATCATAAGAATTATCATTTATTTAATAATTTACATTTCTTTCATCTGACTGGAAATGACACCGTTTGGGGGTCTTATTAAATAAAATTTTTATTTTATACTGGTTTACTTACAAAGTTCGTATACCTTGAAATGCCACCATTTTATACCCTAAGTAAGAGAGTTAAACTAATAAATATTTCATTGGCACAAAGAAAAGAATTCTTTAATAATGGATAAATGAGTTGTTATTTCAGTCTCCTCTATGTGGGATTAGATAGTCTCTGTTGCTGTTTTTGTTAGATGCCTTCATGTTGACTACGACTCATAGAGACCTGTGAATAGCAGCAGATCTGAGCCTTGCCCTATCTTGTGCCATCATTCACCATCTCTGACACACTCAAGCCCATTGCTACAGTCACTATGTCAATCCACCCTTTTGAGGATCTTCCTCACTTTCTTTGACCCTTCACCTTTCCCAGAATGAGGTCTTTTTCTAAAGACTAGCCCCCTCCTGACAACATGACTAAAGTATGTGAAAGGAAGTTTGACCATCTTTGCCTGTAAGGAGTAGCCCGGTTGGATTTCCTTTTGTTTATTCTTTTGGCAATTCATGGGACAGTCAGGAATTTGAAGGAATTTACTTTTCTTCAGTTGTTCTTATGGATTGTTCAACTTTCGGATGCGTAGAATGGCATACAGTCTTAAAGCACTCATATGCAAACAATGATTGGAGGTTTGACTTCAGAGATGCCTCATAAAAAAAGGAGTGGCTGTCCACTTATGAGAAAGAAGTCACTGGAAACCAGAGGGGGGAACAATTTTACTCTGAGAAATTTGAGACCATCATATATTGAAAGCAACTTCACAATAAATGGTTTTGGAGAGTTGGGGAGGAAACAATTTGGCACGTAGGAGAAGCTGTATGGTAAGATATGAAAGAGCTCTTGCCCTCTAAGATGCACGTTTGCATCTAACAAGTTCACTCATTCATAGCTGGTAAGTTGGTTGCAGCTAACTCTTAGGTGATGCTCCGCTAGGTTTCCAAGTCTAGAAACCACAAAGGGAAACTCTCCATCATGCTCCAGAGGAGCCCCTGCAGACGTACGACCACCGAGTTAGCATAAACTCACTACTGACCGTGTCACTAAGGCTCTAACCCAATGGGCACTTCCAAAAAAAAACGAATAGTTGTGGAGTCAGAACTGACTCATAGCTGAGCCTACAGGGAGTTTCTGTGACTGTAAATCGCATGGGAGAAGATGGTCCATCTTTCTCCTAGTGGTGTTGCTTTGAGGTCAGGGGCACATCTCCAGAGTTACCTGCACAGAAGTAGGAAAAAGCTTGCTCTGTGAAGGC